TGAAAGCTGACGAAAACAGCAGAGCAAGTATCCATAGAATCGGCGAGTGTGTCCCACCAATCAGAGAAGATCTTAGAAAAATGGAGAAGTTCGTTTGTTCGCTTTACAATGATTTTAACTGTTGTATAGTCAACGATACGAGATACAAGTTATTCTGCAAAAACCAGAATCTACAGTCGTACCAGCTTCCTCCCACCCATGCTGCCCCATAGAAGCATCTACAACGCGCAAACTACCAAGTTTATGTTTGGAAACATGCATTGGATGCAAGAATTCTAAACCAAGGACCAGATGGTCAAGGATGGTGAGTTAGAGGAGAGGCGCTGGAGATCAACTGGACCGACCTCGCGCCGGCCCTGGAATCTGTAATGGAGCTAGTGTGCTGTGGCTGCAGAGGAAAGTGTGAAACCCGTAGGTGCTCTTGCGTCAAGAACGAACTCCACTGCACAGAGGCATGTTCCTGTGGGGAAGAATGTGTCAACTGTGACAACAGTCAATTCAGCGATGATGAGGACGACTCCACCAGTAATGAGGAAGAAGATGACCTGTAAAAGTTATCTCATGATATACCGTATTGTGGTTGTGACAAATTTCTCGAAAAGTTTCTTGATATCTAACGTCAATACAGATTAGGTATGAAGAACGTTGCAAGCGTTGCTATGGAAACATACAATGCCACTGGCATTGCTATATTAGTTAGTAGTAGGCATTGCTTTATAATGTATAATGATAAACTTTCCATTGCTCAATAAAGTGAGATGCATTGCTCAATAAGGAGATGATTGTTTTTCCTTTTTGTATTTGCTTGGCTTTTACCAGGTGTGGCCCCAATTCCAGAGGAATGCCACTCATCCTTGCTTTCCTGCCATAGGCATTTTCCAGACATTGATGCATCTTTGGGACATCTTCAATAGAATTAAGGTGTCTCAGAGCAAACGCTCTTACTGTAGAATACTTTTATGGGTGTTTTCTCGAGTTAAATATATAAAATTTCATTTTTTATTCGAAAAACCAGACATTTTCATATCCGAGCAGTATTTGACTGGTGCCTGTTGCCATGGAAACCAAAAACCTTAGGTCCGATAACACATCTGGGTAGCTTATGATACAACAGCTATATCTTGCAAATTTGAACCAATTTGGTTGATGTTTGTTAGAGGTATGGACCATTTATCTTATCACCACGTCTATAGTAAGCAAACTCTCCTCACCCCATCCCCCATGGAAACAGCCCAATATCTCATTACAGCGCTCGTTACCGATTTGAAAACAGGTAGATTCTAAAAATATAGGTCATAAGCTTTAATTTGATACCAAATTCACTATGTCCCATGGGGGGTGCTACGAGGCATAACTTTTAGCCCCTTGGCTTATGGACTATTCGGAAATTTATTGCCTCAACAAGGAGATAAGAAAACAGGTTTGTTCTTGCCTTCCATTGAACTACATAAATGAAAATTAGCTCTATGCCGTCGCCATGAAATGAACTTCTGACCAAGAAATTTACTTTTTACATAGGAATCACCTTTTTTACAGTTTCTAGTACTTCGTCGTTTTTGTAGTGACGACTCTGATTTTTCCGAAAAATCAGAAAACCTGGTTAAAATTTTCAGAAATATTAACTCGATGGAAATTGGTTAAGATGAAACAAAGGGGATAAATTTTTGATCGGCCGCTCTGAAATGGGCTATGAAGAGGGTGAACTTCCGATGCGCACTACGCAAATTTCCAAGGCAGTTCTTCCGACCGTGATGTTGATTTTGCGTAGATGTCAGAGATTTCGCCCCCGCTACACAACCGAACACACAAAATAACGCTTGGAGGCATGGGCGCGTCGGTCAGCTAGGCCCTTGATACGTTTTATTAACTCACGTGTAAAACTCCACCGTCTTCTCGGATAGGACGTAAAACCGTAGGTCCTGTCTCCTGCAGGGTTAGGGGTAGGAGACGTTAATTTTCCACGCACGAGATTACTGTGTGGTGGATGTCCTCCCCTGGGGTGGGATGGGTGGGAAGGTGAGATCGTTACATGGACTGAAGCGGCTGCCAGAGGCGCCTGATAAAATGCTGACAACTATTGGAATAATAGGGACCGTGTAACCCCAACCCATGCCATGGCGTCGCCTTTGGGGTTATAAGGCAAAACTAATGAAAACTAAGGCTAACAGAGTTAGTGAAAACTAAACTAAACAGCGCAAGATGACGCGGTGAGGCCGACCGTAGAATGACATGCATAACTAACCGGACACTATTTCAAACCCCCTTACCGCGCTCCCACGCGCGTTACACTAGAACCCGGTTCACCGTTCCGTACCGGCAAAATAATCATTTATGTTAATTCTTATTTACACAAATTACATTATTCTTCATCGCTGTCGATTAAATCGTCCCTGATATTGGGTCTTTCCGATAAATCAGCGATAGCTTGAGGAAAGCACTAATCCTGCCATGCGTGGCTTTTGTGGAGAGCCCTTTCGTATAATCATCGAGTCCTTTCAAGCACTCAGCCGTATTCTGTCACTATTTATGTTTATGACTCTCGCTTCTGAGCGGCTGTTTACCGATAGAGAATTATGTGGAAAGCTGATTGTTGCGCTTAAATAAGGTATCTTGTTGTGGCTATTGTTTACTAGACGCCATGTTCATAAGCATATGCACTTGTTTGTGCTACGTAAAACAACATTCCCCACACACACCGCGATGACTGAAACATTTTGCGACAAGAACAATACACGGCACTGGTAAGAGACCACTAAACTGAGTTTAACTACGCAGAAAGGTAGTTTAACATTAACCAAACTCGGATATAAAATTTAGTGTTCTTCAGTGAATTTTTATGGTTACTGTTAACCCAGTTTCAGTTCGATAAAACGCCAAAAAAGCGGCCTCACACGATTTTTCGGTAAAACCGGTTAACTTCAATTGACAGATTAGAAATAACCCGGTTAACTCGCTATTAAGTGTTATCTCTTTTTTGTTTTTTTGTTCAAAATATACAGAATTTTGAGTTTTTTCGTTTTTGTGTTATGAACTTGTTTATTGCCACAACACAGCGGGCAGCGCAGTGAATGAAGCAAGACTTGTTTCATCCGGCATCTCCCTGGAAGGTGTAGGGCAGTTAATTGCAAGTTTGATTAAGGTATTAGGAAAACCTTTATAAATCAAAATAAATTCAAATACCTCTGTTGTGTTATTTCTAGATGCTGGAAGCTGCGCAGACATTTTGTTTCCTATTGAGTATAACTTCAAACCATACGTTGACGAGGAAGTTAAAAGGCAGCATTTTTCTGGAACTGAACTCTTAAAGAAGGGAACTACTGTAACTGCTTCTTCACCAAACCACTTTCAGAGCAAACCGGAGAATGCAACATCTCTGAGGACTGGAAATCTACATTGTTCTCAAACAGAAAAGGTGACAATTAATGAGGAATCTCATCGGGAAGACCAGTTGCCTCTAGAAAATTTCAGTTATGCCATGGAAGGTCCTCTTGCCACAGGATACCTTAAATCAACTCACCAACAGAACGAGACGTGTGCCGTTTTTAAAAGTAATGCATGCACTGATGATATAGAAGAAGAACGTAAACAGGTCACGGACAGGCTCACCTCTACTTTCCTGACGGCGACAAATCTTTCTTTGGGAAAAATTTCTGAAAAAAAAGTAAAGTGTCTTGAGAAGGATTATTTGTCAGCAGGAACCAATATTACTTGTCCTGATAATGCGTTCGAAAGACCTTCAGCGAGACTCGTAAATAACAAAAGCTCCTGTTCTAAGCGCAAAAGCGATGTCTTTAAAGACACTTATTTAGAAGACGGAAGCCGCCAAAAGTCTCTTGAATTTTCTTCATATGGGGTCAAGAACTTTAGAAGCACAAACTTACTCGAGCATCACAACAGATTTAATATTCCTGGAAAACTAGGATTTGATGTGGGCAATTCTTCCTTTGGTGGAGAGACAAATGCTTCTGCAAGAACTCGTGTCTATCATGGGAAAACAAAAACCAAAGCAGAGATTGGGTATACTAAACGTGACGGTCTCGCTGCAGTCCAAACGGAGCAACTTGTAAATGAATCTCCGTGTTGGGCGGCAAAAGAACCTGTAACAGATGTAAATCTTCGAGCGAATTTGAGAGCGGGAAAGGTTCGTGACGTGTATACGCATTTTGTGGGTGTCTTTTTCTAAATGCGCCTGCGTTTATTTGGAAGAGATTTCCGGTTGATGTCCATGCTCCTTAATTTGGCAGTTGATCTACTTTTTCATGTATCAATTAATGACATGTAGCTAGGTTGTGGCGACCAGTCAATCAGTTAGGCAGGCAGGTAGGCAGTTGAGCTACATTTTCATGTACCAACCAATCACATGTAGCTTGTTAGTGGAGACTAGTCAGTAGCTCAATCAGTCAGGCAAAGAGGCAGGCACGCAGCTGGCCAGGCAGTAAAATTTTCGGTTAGACAGTCAAGCAAGCAGTCAACTGGCTAGCCAGTTGTTCAGTACTTCACTCACGCAGGTATGTTTGAATTGAACGGTCAATGTGTCAGTCAGTCAGTCAATCAATTGTGTTAAGCTAGTTTCACTCAGTCAGTCAATCAATTAGTTTTTCACGTCTGTAGAACGTGAGGAAGCCTGAAATCGGCATTGGCATCCAGCACAACAAATCGGCTTTGGAAAGTTCAAAATGACATCTTTCTTTTTGTTATTTATTTGCGTTTATTAACAAGTTGTCAGTGGAAGCAGATGCGAAGAAGATGGAATAATTGAACTAGTTCTGCGTACAGTGATGTATCTGATCAGGTATTTTCAGGGTTTTTAGTGCGTAGATTGTCAGATAAATCCCCGTCCGACAGGAAATTAGTGCCCACGAATCGCTGTAGAACGTGAGGAAGCCTTAATTCCTGCACATCAGCTGATTAAAGAAAACCACGCAATGGGAAATTCTGCGAAACTCAGAACAACCTACAAGAAGAGTTATTGGCAGATCACAAAAGGAAAGCTGATTTCAACGCAATGATCAGAGCTTAAAAAATATCTAGGGTCAGCGAGCGGTGAAAACCTCGTCAGGGGTCGCAGTCGAAAAAAATGGTTCTCAGTGGATCCAAATTGCGACGTCCCTGCTTTAGGCGAATTAATAATTCATGATATGCTTATACCCTAAAGACTGTTAACAATTTTAACGCGTCGCCGCCGTTTGAATTTTACGACATTATTTGAATTACTCTCCTGAACTCATTACTGGCTCTACGCTCAGATCTAAAAGGGCTTTAACTGCTGTGTATTCCTCTATCGATTTACCAGTTTGACGATCAAGTGTCAGAAGGGTTTTTGCTACTGATCGTTCAAGGCAAACTTTCATGCACCTCCGCTTTGTCTGCTTCTCGTTCGTAAGATGCCTTTAAATTACGAGTCGCAACACCTAGGCATGGTGATATAAAAGAATGATTGTCTTTTAAACAGGATCGATCCTCCTCTGTTGGACCATTTCCACCGACAAAATGTAGACTACAAACGTAGCAGTGTCCTTCGTGCACACAAACGAGTCACCTCGATGACACGACCTTATCCACCTTTGCCTTCTCTCCTTTACTTGACTAGGTCGCCGTTAGCGTTTCTTACCAAGGAGTTGAAGTATCGTGAATCGTTTTTCAAATGCCATAAGCTCATCTCTTTGTCGTAACCATTATGTTTAGGTATACACTTACTAAACAACTGCAATCGTACACGTTCGTAGAGTTGAAATCGGTTTTATTTTTGGGAATCAAGGCCTCCTCACGTTCTACAGCGATTCGTGGGCACCAATTTCCTGTCGGACGGGGACTTATCTGACAATCTACGCACTAAACACCCTGAAAATACCTGATCAGATACATCACTGTACGCAGAACAGTAAGCAATGTCCGAACTTTCAGGGTTTGTTTACATCAAAAGTCACGTGATACTACACGTGAAATCTAAAGCCCAAAAGGTGAATTCTCTCTGTTGGCTCGAAACGTCAGCTTTGGAACTCTCTGCGGTGGCCAATTTACGTCATCAACGCAGTTGATAATACTAGAGTATTTCGTAGCTGTAGTTTACTTTTAGCGGGGAGTAAAGAAGTTCTGATTTTCAACTATTTTTTTTGCCTTATTTCATTCCTTTTGCCCCAAGAAACAAGGCAACTAATCTTTCCTACCCTCAATAAAGTCTGGTTCCTTATAATCCCTCAGATCATCTCAGTTTCCCGAGTGACTATGACATAACTACAATCAAGACATTGAGAACATCGTCATTATAGAAAACCAACATCTTCTGCAACTCTTAGGCGATTGAAAATATTGAGACATTGCTTCTTTCGAGCGCCATATGTCTGAATTTTGAAATAACTTTTTCAAAGCATTTTCTCTTTTTCTGTTTGTTTTTTAATGGTTTTTTTTTTGTATTTTATCGTAGGAGGTGATGTTACTTGGTGAGGATGGACAAAGGAGTTTCTGATATTTTTAGCTTTGTATTTTGATACCTGTGAGAGTACAAAAATATAGTAAAAGATTTTTAAAAGTAGATTTAAAGTGACTGTGGATTTTGTGGTGAAGTTCTTCATTACGTCATATGCTATTGAGCTCTTAATTCAGATGTATGTGAAATATTCGTCTAACTATGCGCAGATCAATCGTCACGGCATTAATTACTTTCAGAACCTTACGGCGGCGTGTTAAAGGATTCGCTCTCCATTGAGGAAAGGGACAAAGTTAAAGGAATTGGGATGAAGACCAGCGAATATGTTTTTCTATGGTCAAAAAAGACAGCTGTCGTTCATTCCTTTCCTATGTTCTATCGCAAGAACTACATTTCTGTTCTCTAGAACAGTTGCTGCAACTTTTTCCTTGTCTTCCAAACTGAGAACACCAGTCAAAAAATTAGCCGACAGGGTTTCTGGTATCAAATAATCTTATTCCGAAATGAAACCACTAAACACATCGAAAACGACTAACATAATGCTAATTAAGTCAAAATACTGATCTACTTGTACCCGACTTGACTTTCGTTATGATACATTACGAAGGTCTACTAAGAACAGATTGCAAGAGAGATCATTAACTCGTGGTTTTGGTTTTCAGTGATAAAACAAATATTTCACATCTTTCTGTTTTTTCTCAGGTTCAATGTTCGATAGCCCATGTCCTCCTAAATTGGCTGGCTATTTCTCATTTTCATCCTTTAAATAACGCTCTACAGTGGGCCGTAACTTTTCCTAGCTTCTCACACATTTCTCCACTTTGAAACAAGTAATCACGCTCTGATTCAATTAGAGCGTGAATTGCCTTAGAGATGCACTCGACTCTCCCAAACATTAGGCGCATAAATTTCCTCGAGGACTTGATACAGAATGTCATGAATCCTTAAATGGGCTTCATCTGGCAAATGTGTATGTGTACCTACAGGCTGTTCGTGATCGTGGGGTGTGCAACATGACCCTTGGGTGTTTCTAGGATACATGCTTCATTCACTGATGAACATACCTGTTTACCATTGTCGGGCTTTCGTAAAGGTGGAGGGAGGAGCGTTGTGCTCCATTGTGTACGTGGTGAGGGAATTGGATGGAGAAGGATCTTGTGGCCTTAACGCATACGCTTTAGTAGAGCTTTCATGGATGGTCTTTGAAGCAGGTTCTGAACTAAAATTGGTTACTGATGGGGTTGTAGGCGTGAGCAAGGTGACGTTTGTGCCCTTAGTATAAACGGTAAAACAGACAACGTTTAAGCCAAAGCCTGAGTAAAAATCTAAAAGGAGAAGAGAAGTCTTGTGGCTCCGTTCAAAAAGACCACCTCTGCGCATTTTCGGAATTTAAATAATTCGTATGAGATCCTAGGCTGATACTATTTAGTGAAATTACAAACAAAAACTTCCACAAGAGAATACATAGTTCAACTCTCAACAATGTAAACAACAAAGCTTTCACACTCACGGCAAATTAGTTAATTACCCACTAGGAACCTGTGATGGCCTTGTCTTTGTTAGCTACTTTGTCACGCTAGACTGAGCAAACTTTGTGAAGCGCTCTTAATGTTGCTATGTGACGTCATACTAACAGTGTCTCGACGGCGGCGCATCCAAGAGAATAACGGAGTCACCCCTCCCTCCTGGTTCAAAAAGATATCTAAAAGGCATACCTCAAAACGTCGGCAGTAGACGACTGCGAGTAGCTGATGATTGACCACGAAAATTAGTATTGTCTGTCACGCTGATGGTTAGAAGTCTAATTTGTTTTCCTTCAACTTAAACCCTTGAGGAACTGATAGAATGATATTCCTGGAGCAACTATTCCTTAACTAGCACCTGACGATCTGATTTGAGTCACAACGCAAAGGAGAAGTGAAGTTTGCATTATTTTTATTTGCGTATTGTTACCAATCTAAAGAGGAGAGCAATATTATCCAATGAAGCTGGTGAAGCATAACTCTGTGTGTCAAAACAAGCATGGTAAATTACAGTTTACGTGTTTACCGAGCATTGAGTCAGCGCCGAGGTGATCAATTATCACTGAATTTAGCTTTTTGACCAAAAAGGAACATAAAATACATACAGAGAGGCTAAATACACCAGCAATATGTTTTTCCAATTGAGCACGCGTACGGCAATAAATCCTGCAATCTACTTGGTTCTTAGAGCGGGCAAGATTTTGTCACGGGCAACGATAACACCTCGCCAAATCATCATGTGAATCTATTTTAGTGAATGAGCAGACAGCAATTGTCATTCTTCGGCTTTTTTTTCTTCAAATTAAAGTCAGAGAGGCTTTGCTTTCGTTCTTCTTATTGGGGGCTCAGCCAGTGCTCTAGTTTATAAGCATATTTCGTTGAACCCCAACCATTAGAGAGAGTCTGAGGAAATTGGAAGAAAAAAATCAGAATTGTCAACGTTTAGGGTCTAGGTTTAAAAGGGCAGATAACAATATGCAACTGATAAATTGCTTTCCAGCGGAAAAGTGATAGCAAAACGTACTGCACCATCCACCGGGTAGAGATTTATACACTGCGGGATCTTGTTATCCAACCCTCGAACAACTGTTGTCAGATCTTTCAAGTAGGTAGATTATGACGGTAATTAAATATGAACAACTGAGTTGATAACCTAAATTGGCCACTGTAAAGAGTTTAAAAGCTGACGTTTCGAGCGTTAGTCCTTTGCCAGACACATTGGAGGAATTGTGG